AATCAGTAGTATAATACAAGGCTCTAATTACCTATGACTTCCCTTAGCCAGGCACTAATTGTTTTTGCATGGTATGCAAAATTTTACAACCTTGAAACGCTTTAGGGGAGTATAAGTAGTTCTCTGTTTATCAATCATTGTAGTAGTCACCAACATACATCATAACTGGGAACAAAAAAACAAATTTATCATATAATAAACTCTAAGAAAAAATATGTGGAAGGCATTAAAAAGAAAACAACTAATAGCCAGGTTAGTTCCAGTGTTTAATAAGCTTAAACAAACACATTTGCAGAACATATTACTGGGCTCCAGAATCCCAATCTATTTATTTATTTACTTAAAAAAAATAAATAATGAATTTTTGGGACAATATTAGATTTACAGGAAAATTGAACAGATAATGCAGTGAATTCAATATACCCACCCCACCTACTACTCCAACTGTAACATGCAGTTTGTTGTTATTAGCATCTTGTATTAGTGTAATATATTGGGTTGTCAGAAAAGTCATGATGTATTTTTTCTATGTTTTTCATTGCAAAAATGCATCATGACTTTTCCAACAGCTCAATATTTGCTATAATTAATGAGCCAGTATTGATACATTATAATTAGCTAAATTCAGTAGTTTACATTAAGGTTCACTCTTTATGTTTACAATGTTATGGATTTTGATAAATTCATAATGACGTGTTTTCATCATTACAGTATCATACAAAATAGGGTTGCCACCCTAAGTATCTTCTGTGCTTCACTTACCCAACTCTCCTTCTGTTTTCACTTCTATGCCTGTAATCTATTTTGAGTTGATTTTTGTGAAAAGGATAAGATCTGTGTACAAATTCTTTTTTTTTGCACATACACATCCAATTATTCCAGCCACATTTGTTGAAAATAGTGTTCTTCTTTATTCACTTGACTTTGTTCTGCTCTTTTCTTTTGTTAAGAATGAGTTGATAATTTCCAAACTCTTTACATGTCAGAGCTGAAACCAAAAATCCCTGAATTGCTCCAAACTATTTTTCCCTGTTCAGCACCTTCAAAATTTGGCTGATCATGTGTTTTGGGAGTTAGTGGCTATCTAACCTTGCTGATACACTTCCCTAGCACCTTGGGAGCCTTAGGCATCCAGTTTGCCACCCATCCTCTTGATGGTCTTGCCTAGTCCCTAGAGAGGGAATGTGTCTTCACCTCCCTCATGGTAGCCAATTTGAATTGTCACTTACATAAAACACACAGAGTCGCCAATTGCAAGGTTTGAGAGGGAGTGCCTTCTTATCTGTGTATTAGGTGGCTCACCTGCCTTAACCTAGTCCTACCCATGATAACCAATCTCCATTGTTGCCCCAATGATGTTTTTCTCCTGATGCTCATGCCCTTATTTGGTACCCTGCTGCACTGAATAGGGCTCACCTCTATGATTATTAGGGTGCTGTGTAAATGATGGTGTGTTATTTAAGTGGTTAAGCCATAAAGGACAATAGTGGTATTTGCATTGCTCTCTCTTAGACCACTCACTTTGGGAGAAATTAGCCACTATGTCATGCGGATACTCAGGCAGACCCCTGGAGTGTCCCATAAGGGGAAGAACTAAGACATTTTCAACCAGCACCAACTTGCCAACCATGTGAGGCTGCAGCATTGAAAGCAGAGCATTCAAGCCAAGACAAGTGTTCAGATGATTTCAACCATGTTAATCTGTGGGAGACCCAAATCTATAATTACTCATCTAAGCCATTGCCAAATTCCTGACCCAAAGAAACCATAAAATAATGAATTACTGTTGTTTTAAGCTACTAAGTGTTTGTTTTGAAGCAACAGATAGTACACACCATTGTATGTGTATTGATCTACATGCCATAAAAATATTCACATATGTTCCTGTAAAAATATTTGGAATTTTTTCTACAGTTTACCTTTAGATATGTAATCACCTGTAAGTTATTTTTATATATACTATAAGGATGTCAAATTGAACAGTAACAATTTATTGAAAGACTGTCCTTCCCTCAGTGTACCGAATCATAGTCTCAGTCATTGATCAAGTAAACATTTATGAGTTTTTCTGTTTTTCCTAATCTTGTGCTAATACTACACTATTTTAATTACTATAGGTTTCTATTAATTCATGGAATATGATATTACATAAACCCCAGCATTGTTATTTCAAATTGATGTTTATCTTGAATAATCTTGGCCCTTTGCATTTTAGTATGAATTTCTGATTTGTTTTTTCAGTTTCTGCCACCAAAAAAAGAAGACATTGCATTGAATCTTTAGATAAATTTGAGGTTGGATGGATTACATGGGGGTATATGCCTCCATTTTTTATTTCTTTTTAATTTCCCTCAACAGTATTTTGTAGTATTCAGTGTAAAGGTCTTTCACCCATAAACTTTAAAGTTTTTACTGTATGGTTTTTTTTTTCATGGTATTGTAAATCATACATTTAAAATTTTGTTTTCTCTATTATTGAGATATAAAAATGCACTAGATATTTGTATTTTTACTTTTTTATAGCAATCTTGCTGAAATCAGTTATTAATTTCATTAGTGTTTCTTTAGACCAGTGTTATCTAATAAGAATATAATGTGAGTCACATATATATCTTGTTTTCTAGTAGCCACATTTTTAAAAAGTAAAAAGAAATAGGTGATAATTTAATAATATATTTTGACTTAATATATCCCATATAATATTATTTCAACATGTCATCTATATAAAAATTATTATCAAGGTATTTTTATATTTATGTGTTAATATATTTTGTTAATATTATATATGTACACATATACATATATGTATATATATTTGTAATATATGAATAAGGACACAGAGAGAGAGACATTACAGAAATTGGCTCACACAATAATGGAGGCTTTGTCATGAAACTGAACACACATTCACCAAGATCAGGAGTCAGATAAACTGAAGGAAGATCCAGGAAAAAGGGAGAGCAATTGCAGATCCAATTGCTTCTTCACACCATTGAGATGAGTCTGCTAATGAGCACGTTTAAGTTAATGCTGCAGTGGGTTTTGGCTTTTGTGGATGTTGGGATGGAGTGCATGTATTTTGCGTATGAGATGGACATGAATCTTTAGAGACCATATGGGGAGATATGGTAATATCGCCCCCAAAGTTTCCCATATCCTTATCCCCATAACTAGTGAATATGTAACCTTACATGGCAAAAGGGACTTTGAAACTATGATCAAGTTAAGGGTCTTGAGAAGGAGAGAAATCCTATATGATGTGGGTGGGCCCAGTGTAATTGCAAGGGTCCTTATTAGAGGGAGGAAGGCAGGTCAAATTCAGTGGATATGTGACAATGATATTTGAAGATGCTATACTGCTGGTTTTGAAGATGGAGAAAGAGTCCATGAGCCAAGGAATTCAGATGGTTTCTGGAAAACAGAAAAGGCAGTAAGATGCATTTGCTGTAGAGCTTCCAGGAAGAATGCAGAACTTTCAAAATCTTGATTTTAGTCCAGTAAGACCTCTTTTGGACTTTTGCCCTCCAGAACTGTAAAATAATACATGCTAGTAGTTTTAAGCCACTAAGTTTATGGTAATTTTTTATAGCAGAAATGAGAAATTAACATAAAACTGAACAAAATCTGGGTTTCTTGTGATGAACAAACCCCTTGAGTGAATTTAAATATTCCTGCCAAGCAGACTGCTGTTTTTCTGAAGAGAACACAATTTGGCTATTATAGCATGTGTAGATCCATTACATTGGTCTACTTTGGGCAAACTCACTTCTGCCAAGACATTTGGAGCTACCTCAGTCCCAGCATTTCACTAATGTGAGGTCAAGATCCAATTCTTAAGAGGCTGAAAGTAGGGATTATTAGTGTGATCAAGAGGCAAGTACAAAAAGGAACCCTATAGGAGGGAATCAATATTCTGAGGTGTTCAAAGGAACAGCTAATGATTTTCATCAAGTGAGTCAGTGATATGATAGATACCCCAATCAGAGTAGAAGCTATGGGCCTCGGGAATGTTTACAAGAGAGTTTTGTTTTTTCTTAGGTAATAAAGGCAGATTCCAGATTTAATAAAATTTGACTAAGGGAAACCATGTCAATGTTCAAAAGATTATCTTGGGGAAAAGCTGTCTACATCTAAAGTAAACAAGTCTCAGGTTAAGTTTTTCTGACAGAATGGGTATCGAGCCTTCAGTTAAGGGAAGGGATAATCTAGAGAACAAGATCACCAAAGCATTCTGAGTTATATTAATTTCTATTGTTTTCTTCTGACTTGACAAGTTTTTTAAATTGTATATCATTAATATACAACTGCTTACAGATAAGGCAAATAAACAGAATACCTCAATAGAATATATGCATAGAAATATAACATAAACCAGAATGTGCATATATGTAAAATTTTTACACATTAATAATGAATATAATAAAATCGAAACAGATATAAATGCTTAGTTATTTTTGCTTATCTACTTTACTAATTTTTAAATATTACTATTACTCTACTAAACATCACTCTTGCACTGAATAGATAACTGTATAGAAAGAAGGAAATCAGAGTATATTGTAAAGAGCACTTACTATTTTTGTACTCCATAACCTAATAACTTCTTGAAATAATTTTTCATATACAATTTTGGAGCTAAAAAAAATCATAAAAATTTTCTTTGAAACATTTTAATTTATAAATCTCTATTTTTTTCATTTGTTAAATGAAAAAAAGTCTAAAAATTTATTGTGTATATGTTTAAAAAAACCTACAGTTGAAAGGAATTGCATTAATTTTTAACAGTTCAATTTCTTGAGCTTTGATTCATGAATGATTTCATTACCATTTTTTCTATACTGAAAATATATCAAGTTTAAATAAAGTGGTGTTAAAAGTAAATACAGAAAAAATAATACTGTGATTGTAATTAACTTAGAGACAAGCTTTAGTGTATTTTGACAAAATTATTTATTTGATTGAAAATTTCTATTATTTAATTTGATTGTATTTGCTTTTAGAAATGCAGTCATGAAAAATGCTGTAATCCTCAAAAGTGTGCTCTGATTGGCTCAGCAGAATGTGGCACTGGACCGTGCTGTGATAAAAACACTTGTGTGGTAAACTTTCAAAATATTACATTATTTTCTTTCATGATTTTTTTGTGTGTTCTTGTGCATTCATTTTTTTTAGTTTTTTTTTTTAAATGTTACTTTATGTACCCAGTTTATTCACAGCTGTTTTCAGAATTCAGAGGATGTCCTTAGGTTTTTTTCCAACCTACTTCTCAGCTCCACCTTTCACTGTATTATTTCAGTCTCTACTCAAGACCCATCCAGTTACTGCATTCAATACCAGTGCCAAACTATTTGGACAGTGAATTCCTCTTGGTCATGCCTGGATGAAGCTCTTCATCATCAAAGAACTTATGACAAAATTATAAATGAGCCATCCAAAACACATGACATGAAATATTCAAATAAAAGATAATAATTTTTTTTTGAAAATCTCATTTTGAAAATAGCAGAAAAGGAATCCATGTAGAATAGTCAGTAATATGCAGCATATAAAATTGTGAAGTTTAACTTTGGCAAGGACTCCTAGCCTGGAAGTGGATTGAATCCTTGACTTCCCCTGGGAAGTTTTCCATTCAAATTTTCTCACATCTGAGAGAGGACATTGGGTAGGATTTGTCTTCTGCAGATTGCTTCATTGTAGTATCTCATCCTTTTTGTGGACTCACTTTCAGGAGTCTATGACAAAAATAAAAGCTGATTAATGGGAGATTTTTGCTTGACAGATTTTTTTTTTCTGTTAAGGAACTCTCTTCTAACATTATTCTACTTTGTTCTATATGTATTATTTTTCATTCTATGTGCTAGTAAGTAAAGCCAATGGACATTTGTTTTCAAGGCACATCAATATAGACGCCAGCATAGGGTTTCCATTTCTGAGCAATAAACCTGTTGCTTTTCCCTTTACCAGAGTTCTCATCTTGACCTTTGTCTTTATATCTGTGGGATTGAGTGTTAAGGATTTTCTACACAGTCTATTCCCCTTTATCGATGAGATGTGATAAAAAAAATACAGTGAATATTTAAATTCTAAAAATACTACAGTAAAAGACACATTGCTATTAATCCCCCTCAAAATACACCTCATTGCTTCAAACACACTTATCCCATCATTCTTGCCACTTTCTGAAGCAGTTCTTGAAGTCCTCCTTTGTGAATGTCTTTAGTTGCGCTGTCATGGTTGCCTCAATGTCCTGAATTGATTCAAAATGTTTTCCTTTTATGGTCATTTTGACTTTGGGGAAGAGCCAGAAGTCACACAGTGCCAGGTCTAGTGAATAAGGTGGATGAGGACACACCATAATGTTTTTATTTGACAGATATTGCTGTACCAGAAGCAATGTGTGACAC